GAGACCAAGCTTACTTCTCAGTGGCTGGCATCCCCCATAGCAAGTTAGAATCTTGGGAGTTCAGTGATTGGAGGCTACACCACAGCCCAGACCAGGGCCCCCAGATGTTAGCCTGGTTGCCTCAGACTTTCACACAGCCCTCTTAGCATTTCACTGTGGAGCTTCGTTTGTTTGGTAGGGCTAGCATTGAACCCACGGCCTCACGTATCCTAGGAGAGCACTCTGAGCTTGGCCTCGGCTGCACCCCATTCTAAAGTCCATTGTTCAGCTGGCTCTTCCAGTCTGCCACTTGCTTCTGCTCTTTACATTTTGCTGTTGTTTGAACTCTAATATATATTTTGCTGTTTTGAGACAGGGTCTCATGTGACTCAGGTTGGCCTGAAACTAATATCTGTGATTGCTTGGTCTTGAACTCCTGATCTTCCTGCTTCCACCTCTCAAGCATTCCTAAATTACACACATCAGTGACCATGTCTGGCTTCTTGATGTGTGTTTGTTTGTTTGTTTGTTTGTTTTTAGATAGGGTTTACTCTGCAACCCAGGTGACCATGTATTTCTCTCTCCTCCCTCAGCTCTCTCAGTGCTGTGATTACAGGTGTGAACCAGCAGAGCTGGCTTTCATTACTCTCTGTAAATAATTATTTCATCTTAGAAAAAAAAAGTCAAACGCTCAGAATCCCCTCAAGTGGCCATAATGGACAAGGCTCCACTTTTACTCTGAAAGAGGCTTATCTGGGATGCATTCTGGTTACCAGAAAGATCACTCAGCTCCGTAAAACTCCCACTGGTTTGAATGGGCTCTGAAAGGAACAAGAAGCACTCAGCATGGTTCTAGACCTGAGGAACAAGAACAAACTCATCAGCAAACACCAGTTCCCATTGGCATGGAAGTAAAGTCCTGGGTCCTCAAGGAAGTATCAGCCTGGTGGTGGAGACAGGTGCCAGCCTGGTGGTGGAGACAGATGTGTTTACAGAGAGCACCAGGCAGTGCAAAACATGATCCCCTTGGACATTTAAAGACTAGTCTCAAGGTTGGAGGTGTGGCTCAGTAATAGAACCTAGGATGTAGAATGCCGTAGGTTGGATGCCCAGAGCCACAAAAAGAATTAACAAGAAATCAAATGCTCCACCTCCCATGTCAACAGTGGCCCTCTTTCTTAGGCAGCACCTAGGACAAGGCAGTTGCTGTCACCAGCCTCCTCTGCCCCCTGGACTAGTGGGTGGGTCGTGCTTTTTAACCCAGGCTGCCAAGAAAGCCCAGCACTCCTGCCGATAAGAAGAAACCTTAATCAATGCGATTTTGGCATCATGTACAGAGGGCCAGGGCATAGGGCAGGCATAAATGGAATTCTGGAGCCAGGGAAGGTTCTAGAAGACCATTTTTAAAAATCAAAGTAAAAATGGAGACCTGTACTGTATGACCTTGAGTGAAGCATATACACAACAGGCTGCTTTTCTCCTTCTGAAAATGGGGGTGAATGGTATTTGATTAAACCACAGAAACAGAATGACCAAACACCTGCAAACCCCTGCCTTTTTGCCGGCTACTACATCAGGTGGCTGCAGCTGGCAGCTGGAAGCCCAGCCCATCAGTACCACCTGAAATTCCAGTCCCAAAAGCCAGCCTTCCCCGGTCTTTGGCCTCTGCACAAGCCCCGCTACCTGCCACAACGCCTACGCAAGCAGTCAGGTCAGCTGTCACCATGGTTACCAGTAAACCCACTCCGTGATATCCTGGATGCATTCATGCAAAAGAGCTTCAGAGGTTTCTACTTCACCTGACTCCAATCGCAGGCCAGAGAAGGAGGGCAGGAGCAGGGAAGAGGGGGGAGACACATTTCCAGGCCACGGCAGAATCAGCTGGCACTCCTCCCTCCCAGAGGAAGCTGTAGGCCACCAGCCCTCCTCAGAAGAAGCTGGGTTACCCCAGCAGGGATGGCTCATCTACACAGGCTTTGAATCCAACCAGCTGCTCCATACCAAGTAGAGCAGCCCTCCTCTCTTCCCAGAGCCTGTGTCCAGAGCTTCCGCTCAGAAACCACTAGAGCTCGCCCGTGGCTAAACACCTCCTAGCATCTCAGCTTTCTCACAGGAAAATGGGGGCTGTTCTGGGCCTGCCACTCCTAAGACTTGGTCATCTGTCATGGAGGGAACACATCAGGGCTGTGAGGGGAAGCGGGCAAGCACACTGCTGACAGCTGCCCCTAGGAATCTCAGTTCAACTCTCGCCTGCCCAGCTCCAGCCTCACCCAACATCCGCTCCTCTTTACCCCCTGCCTGGACTGGGACAGCAGTCTCCTGAACCTCACTCCCTCATCCATTCTCCAGGCACAAGGCCTGGAGGACAGCAGTCCAGGTTTTGAATTAAGCTGGACACCACCTCCATGGTGGCCTTGGTGACGGAGGAAGAGATTCCTTCAACTGTCAGCCTCTGAAACCCAAATGGAAGATGACTGGCCACTTACGTCTTGGCCTTTCCCCAGCATGGCTGATGCCCTTGCCCAAGCCCTGAGCTTGTCCTCTCAGCCTGCCAGCCTGCCAACCTGGGTGTCCATTCATACTCTGTATGTAGGCTCCAGGGAACCCGGGAGAGGGAACACCCCTCCCAGAAGGCCTGAACCTTCATCTGTCCCTCATGGCATTTCAGCTGTGCATTGACAGTTCCCTGCCTATGCTTGGGAGAACCTATCTCTTCTCTATTGCCACGGGGAGCAGGGCGGGGAGTGGGGGGTGAGCCCAACCTCCATTACCTCCTCAGCTTCTTTCCCCAACTCCCTCAGCAACGCCATCAGATTAACCCCATTTCTGAAAAGTTCCTGGCTACTCAGACGCTCAAGGCCACTAACCACCTCAGACAAAGCCCAAACTGGAAAACCTGCCACCGGGGCTGTCAGTGTGACAGCACACTGATTAGGTGTGGATGGGAAACTCGAGATGAGCTTGGGTTTTGTTTTGTTTTGTTTTCCTGCCGTCCTCTCTATGGGAAAGGGCTTGCCTCTCCTCTCCTGGCTAATTCTGACTCATCCTGCAATACCCAGCTCACAAGCCATTCCCTGTCCGTCCACAGAGCGAGTCTCTGAGCTCTGGCTCCCCTGCCGCCCTGGCTCCTTCATCCTCTGATCCTCTGCAGTCTCTCTCTCAGACTGACTCTCTCTCTCTCTCTCTCTCTCTCTCTCTCTCTCTCTCTCTCTCTC